CTCTCTCTCTCTCTCTCTCTGGGTGCGTCTGCTATACACGCGCGGTCACAAATCACACCACACGGCAAAACTGACCGCGAGGGAGACTGAGCTGCGGCGAGGTGCCAGGCGCCTGGAGGGGTGAAGGGGAGGGGGAAGGGAGGGGCATCCTCCCCCTTTCCCCGCGTGAGAGGTAGCCTAGGCAATTCACACACCCTCTATATGTAAGAAACCCGTGCCCCCCCCCCTTCCCCCCTCTTGCCGTCAGGTGGACCTAAAACCGCGCCTGCGAGGTGCGGCGGAGCAACAGGGTCACGGACCTCTCACATAAGCACCATGGCGAGTAGACCACCGGACGACGAATAAAAGAGTAATCTAAGACAAACTCGTGTGTTTCTGTGTACGCTTTGCCTGTATTTCTTGTATTTTACTTGTATTTTTGACGTGTATTTCGATCTATTTCTGTGTATTTCTCAGTATTGTGGAGTATTTTTCTGTATTTTTTTGTATTCTCTGTCAATTCAAATGTGTACCTTTTGTCAACTTTAACAAAAGTGTGCATGGCATGTATTCTTTAATAGATAATGTATACATGACCGTCGCCATGTACGCACTTATAAATGCGTACATACATGGCAGTAGGTACGTTTTTATTTATACGTTTACTAACTGCAGTACCCATGGTTATGTATACATTTATAAAAGTTTAGAAGCCATGTACGCATAAAATAATACTTGCCATGTACACCTAAGGTATTCAATGTACACATTTGAATTAATAGAGTTGCTGTACACGATTTAATCGAGTCGCCCCCCTTGCCAACACTAATATGATGATGCGGGAAACAGGTATAGGAGCCGGCGACACGTGGCTACTATGCGATGTTCCCCATCTCATCAAGCAAGTGATACTGTCTTACGGACTAACAAAGGTAACGCCCCAAATACCACTCTCGAATGCGTCATCGAATTGACCCAAGCTAGAGCCGAGCCTAAAACAGCCGTGTAGTCCACACTACAGCAAAGCAATATGACGTGTCGTGGAAATCGCGGTGAAGTTAAATAGGAAAACAAACTTATTTCGCCCGCTTAAACAAGGTGAGGGTGACACTTGCAAGCGCCCAGTTTTGATTGGATTGCAGCAGGTCGAATCTCCTTCCAGGAAGACCCTCCTGCTTGAACGGTGCCGCAGGGCAGTGGCGCGTAACCCACGGGAGGGACGCTGCTGCGGAGGTCTTCTTTGCCCGCTTTGGACAAACCACCCGCCTGCAACAGGACCGTGGCGCAGCGCTTTGGCATTCTGCTGATTCAATTATTGCGAACCAAGTGACGGCCTTGAGGACAAAGGCATTATCATGAAGCAACTTCTAGCCCATTTCAAATATGCACGAAACAAAGAAAACGTAGGAGTTGAAATTCTCCTCTACTGCAAACAAAATAATTAGAGGCGCGACTTTGTCTTGAAAGGGGGAATTTTCTCTGATGAATTTTGGAGGGGTGGGCGCGGAGCTTCTTGCACAGTGACGATTGTTAGCTCAACTCTGAGCAACAGGTTGTTGTCCGGGGCGTTCCGTTACGCCCACTCTCTGTTTCAAGCAGAAACGTCCCTAACTGACCAGTTCGTTTAAAAACGGCTCGAAGACTTTATTTGGAGATCCCTGTGTTCTCTGCTGTAGCTGCAATGAAGCTATTTTATTATTGTAATGAGCGAAAGGCAAAAATTAAAAAGTATTTGGTTGGAGCATTTTCTTACGAACCGGTAGGTAAGACACGTCCCTAGTGCACATCTCCATCCGACACAAATTTCTCTGTAAGGAGAAAATATGGGCATAGAATTGGTGTTGGTGACTGAATGTTGTAACGTAAATACAAATTTGTATCTGATTGAGAAGTGCGCAAGGACCAGCAAGGCAATGTCTAACCTTCGTACAAAAAATGGTAAATGGTAATGGTAAAAAAAATTGGTAGCCTGTGTTCAATGTCATAATATTAACTATTGATCAATCGTTATTTATTAAAATAAATCCATGACTTAAAGTTCATCAGATCACAACATGTGTTCGCATAGTGCATTCAAATTATACTCCGCGTAGCATTCAGTTCCGTTTAATACGGATAATCACAAATTAATATTCAGTTTATCAAAAGTAGCTCTCCTTCCGAGGTAGGTTAATCAGTGCTATCACGCTAATCGTTTCCGCTGATATTGGTGGTGGACGTTGCAAACCGCACGATGAAAATTGTTATGTTTGTGCAAATTCGCCGATATTTTATTTATCATTAGGTGCTGGTTTGACAAAGATGCTCACATGTCACCATGGGAGGGGTTCCAGGTATATTTCTCAGTATGGGTTGAAAGGTATTTCCGTAGATTGCCGGACTAAACTTCTTGACACTTGACACTTAAGTGCGTCTCCAGGCTGCCGCGGCTCGCGAGAATATCTTGTGGCAATTTACTTGAACGGCTTCTCAGTCAGTGTGGGTTCGTAGGTGCATCTTCAGGCTGCTCCTTTGAGAGAATTTCCTGTGGCACTCAGTACACTCGTATGGCTTTTCTCCAGTGTGGGTTCGAAGGTGCATCTTCAGGCTGCCGGCTAGAGAGAATTTC